CCTGGAAGATTCTGTCCATGACTCTTTGATGACATCTCTGCAAGCTTATTAAGGACAGTGACATTTTTTAGGGTAAGAGTGTACTTACTGTTTTTAAGGAAGCATTGTTTAAAATTTGATTTGTTTGGGAAATTTGGAAGGGCACCAACATTCCCTCTCACTACTTTATCTCTTTGTTTCCAAGCACAAGTGTCCTGATATGAAAATTTGCTGATTAAATTTAATGCAGCACATATACAATATCTTACAGTATATTGTAGTAAAAACATACTGCAAGGTGATTCTGGCTGTTCTTTGTTAGAGTGATGCTGGCTCTATGGAAATCAGTGGGAAAGCCTTTCCCAACTTCAATAGGACCAGAATTTCACTTTGTAAATTTCTGCTTCAGTGCTGTGGCACTTAAACCATGTATTATTATGGATGTGAATTTCTGGTCCTACAAGCCAATGTCTGCAATGAGCATTTAAGGGTTTCTCAAGTTCTGCAAACAAATTTTCACTGAAGTGATTAAGCCAAATTTAAATCAGAACTTTTGTTCTTTCTTTGTGTGAATGCTCAATGTGCTAGGAATAAAAATATCTCCGTTGTGTTTTGCTTTTGTTGGTAATAAGCCTGTACTGTGTTAATTGTATTTGGGGTGTTATATTACTTTCAGACAGCAAAATATTATAATGCCTGGCTTTGACTTTCTTGTGTAGCAGTAGTGTGCTGTGCCGCACACACGGTGCTGGCAATACTTTGAATTTATTCAGAGAGCAAAGGTTCCCATTCACTGCACTCTTGATGCCATCTGCATCCTGCAGGCAAAACTGCATTGTAAGAAGTCAGCTTCAGATGACGTTTCATAGCCAGAAATTCTGTCCTAAGTTATACTTTTCTCCTCTTTCTTTGATAGTGACAGTGAGTGGTTTTTACTGACCATGAAGTTTTCTGCTGTTGACTTTGTGGATTTCCATGGGCTGGAATGTATGATTTGGTATTCCATTCAGATAAAATGCAGGGATTGGACTCACATAATCCTGCTGCTTCTGGAGACACAGTAGCTAATTTATATGTTTGAGTCCGGTACGTTTGCAACTGCTGAAAGTGAACATGCAGGTTTTCGAAAGATTTTCCAAACTCCCCTTTCTCCATGGGGAGCCTGACCTTAGTTATGGAGAGGAAAAAATGTCTTTATCCCAGGACTGTAGGATTGTAAGATCTCGTCCTATATTGTATACAGATGCTGAGAGTAATATGTGCTGAAAGAACG